AGAGACCAACAGTCAAGAACCCAAAGGTCAACTTTTAAGATTTCATTACACAGCTTTTGGACAACGGAACAATTTTATAGCAGCAAATATTATGTACTTTTTCTATGCTTCTTAACCATATGAAGCAATGAAAAGCATATTCTAGCCATTTTCTTTTCTTTTCTTTATATTCTGTAATGCCATGATTGAAATCATTCGTAGACCAAGAATCAAAGACGGTCTTTCTGCACAGAAGTTTATCAAAATAAACTACGCAGTCTTTATGGCCTCGCCATTAGCACCGTACATAGTTACCAATAGCATCACCAAATTTTGTTGCTTGATTCCTACACAAAGATTCCATTGGAACAACAAAAAGAGTAGTAGACTCAGACTGATCCCTAGTTCCTCACATATTTCAAGAAAAATATAAGGTCAGAATGACATAAAAAAGAACCTCGTAGGCAAATAAGACAATATGGCAGGTAAAATTCTGAGGATTTATGTACCAACAGAACTATTTATATTAACATAGTAAGCTTGCAACACTTCACTGAATAATCTTATCATGTAGCCTGAGTTAAACAGTACGTATGCACCTCTACCATACCCAACGGCAGAAAATTATTAGCCACAAACTCGGCTAATAGCTCGGTCCAATTTGCGCCCGAAGGTTGGGGAAGTGGGTCTTCTCCATCAACATTTCCCTGACACACAAACAGTATAATACTTCTGCTCAAGGCGCGGAACAAAACTACACTCGAGAATAACAGAACTTTGAAACACTCTCTCACAGACGATGGACAGTAACTGAAATTGTAATAAATAGACGGCGGGAACCTGGCGGGACTCCGCGCTTGCTGGGATTCTGCATAATCTAGAACCGGGACGGAGTTTCCGGAGAAACAGCGTTGCGCTGAGCTTACCGCCGGAAGAACAGAAGTATACAGGTGGAGGCAGTTGACTGATTTGCCGGAAAGATTGAGTTCCAGTTATCGGAGGGTGGACGAATCGGAGAACTTGT